CACAGTTTGTGGTTTAGCACCACCAGTGCACAAGCCTGCCAAAGGTCTTTTTCCAGGTTTTCTGATTCTCTTTCAGTTTCATACCTTGCTTGCATCTTAACCATTTCACTGAAAGGTTCGATTTCTTTTCTTGTTAACAAATATTCAATTGCTGTTTTTATTCCTTAAAATCTATTTCAGTTCTCAAGGATCTGAACTGGTTAAAAATGTTGTACAGGCTACTGAAGGGAAGCATGCTCTTCAACAACAACAACAACAAAATTATGTAACTTGTACAGAATAATATCATGTGCTAGCACCATTATACTAGGATCTGATCAGATAAGCGAGCTTTGCTTTCATTAAGGATCTAATCTTGATTATACCAGGCAGCCCCTGAATGACAGCTCCGGCGTTTTTCCTCTATAAAGGATCTTTCACGCTCTAGTCTGGAATTTTTCTAATAACTGAGGTTTTTAGTGAGAAATCAAATGCAACACTTTTCCTCTGGTTTTCAAAGTAACAGGTTGATCATGGAAAAACTTCCCCTTGGCTCTCAACCAGGAGTTATAAATATCCAAAAGCTAAAACCTAGTCTGGGGTTATTTTTATTTTCTATCTCCAAGACCTCTTTTCTGGAGATGTTTTTGAGCCTTAGATCTCTTGCTTGCTTTGCTACAGAACTGATGAAAGTCTGAGATCTCAATCAAAGGCTTAACAAAACAATAATCCTCTATTGCCCTAATTCTTCTCAGAAACATCTCTCTCTGACAAGAACAGTCCTTAAGCTTTTACTTCTTTTGCTGCTTAAAATTACTTTCCTAATTAGAAGGAATTGTTTCCTTCCCAAATCTTTTTGCCTGAAGAACACTCTATTTATTGGTTAGCATCTCTCAGCTCTTTAGCTACCTGCCCCCAAATAATGACTGTGATAACATCTTACATCCCTCAAAAATTTCAACTTCTTTTTTTAATACTTCTTCACAATCAGCCTAATTCCATTCAAAGCAAAAAACAAACAAACAAACAAAACCTCCACCCAAATAGCAGGAAAAACCTTGAATTACATAGATTTCTTGCTTAATGCAGCCATTAGCTCTCAAGCACATTACAATTTAAAATTAATTTTTTTCCACGTATGTATACTCCATACACTTCCATACTAATCCTGACTGAGTTTATAGACAAGGTATGTAACAGAAATTAGAATCAGAATGTGTGAATGCAGAATAGATAGAGCTCAGTATTTGACATTGAGTAGAGAAAGTAAATCAGACTCTCATACCAGAGAAATTATTTACTCTTTAACCCAGCAGCTGCTCACGCTTACAGGTGATGAAGGCCCCATTTCAAGAAGGTGCCTATGCAGAAATAGCACCAGTAACTTCAGGTATGTGAGCAATCCTGCACACTCAGGTTCAACACAAGCTCAGATGCTATCCTGACCAGGCTTCCGTCATAATAAACTTACCTGCCAGCTAACTTTAGGGTGCTAACTGCTGGCATGGATCACACCCATGGAAGAAGTTCCTGACAAGCTGCAAGACAAAATGAAATAATGAGTCAAGATTAGGGAAGGTCATGAAGAACTTGGACACAGGGCAAGGATAAAAAAACTGTGCACTGTTAAAGTGGATGAATTTGAGTCCAATTGAATTCAAAATAACTTACACTAAATACGATGGTCCTATTAACTTGCGTGGAATAGACTACTATTTGAATAATATTTGTTAGTGCCTTTACAAAAGCCTGCAAAGGGAAGAAGTGACGACAGCCATGGCAGGTAAAAGAACAGAAATTGAGATGGAAGAAATTATAAGACTTATTGCAGGTAACTGTGTGACTAAGTGGTTGTTATCATGTCAATCAGCCAATAGGCTGCATGTTGATTTGACTCCTTTCTTCAAAAGTGAACAGGAATAGCTGTCCAAATAGCTGAATGTCTCCTCCTATGCCTGTAAATGCCATTGTGTCAATTTGAAAGGAGCAGTTGAAGCTGGAGCAATGCTCTCTCCTCACTTGCTGGTAGCCCAGCTTAGAGAGGCCACCGCTGACCCATGACAAGGTCACTCATCTCCCCTGGGCATGGAAGTCTGGAAATAGACCATTTTTCTCATGCAAATTCCCTTTTTGGCAAGGACATTGCAATTGTAGAGATAAGCCCAGAAGATGAGTGATTAAAAACAATGTGGAAAGGCTTTCATACTCAATATAATTTTGTGAAAAATAGTGTTACCAAGTCGAGATTGTAAATAACTAAAGATCAAGAGGTTACATTAAACAATGAGTATCAGCACAAACGCTTTTTAGCACTATTCTTTTAAATAAGAAAACCATACACAATAAAAAGGACCAGATAATAAAATAAGGTTTTACAAAATCTTTCTTTCCCCCATGTGGGTAACTATATGCAAGGGGATATTAATTAATGAGATTTAAAATATGACTGAATTGTTATATGAATAACAATTCCTGCTTATCACACTCTTTAGAGCAAATGTCTTTCTATTCCAGAACAATTCTTTTGTTAGTTGGGAACAGGAAGATACTTTTCTCTTTGGTGTTTTGTTGCACAGTTGGCAGAGCACTTTCAGATCTTTCCATTCAAGACAGTACATGAAACTTGACAGGGCATTAGTTTGTTCTGTAAAAACAGTTCCTACACACTTTGGGCACATATACTTTTAATCTAAAGACAGACAGTGATTTTGGGAAATAATCTCTTTACTTTGAAGGTACTCTCCTACTCCCGACAGTGAAATACTCCTGAGATCACCTCTAAAATCCTTGAATGGGTGGTTTACATCCTAGAGTTCAAAGTTTTGTTTATATGACAGATGCTACTTATACCTCTCTTTTGACATCAGAAGAGGAACAGAACAGGCTGGCTTTATTTGCCTTATTATTGGCCACAGTTCTGCAAGGGAGTTTTATATTTCTGATTAAAATCAAGTTTGATATACATCAGTAATGATGAACAGAGGTGTCTGTGGTCTAACAAGATCTTCTAAGTGAGAAGTCACCCTAATAGCTTGGTATAGGCAGGTATGCAGTTGAAACACAAGAGAAAGGGGAGGAAGGATCCTTCTTTCTCATAGTCTGAGTCTGTTAAGGGCCACTTATTGCTCTAATGAAGCTAGCAGATTGAGAGGAGAAATCTGTGCAGCTGGGCAAACAATTGGATCAGAACAAAGAAGTGCTGAATTAACTTGATACCTTAAAAAAAAAAAATCTGTGAAACAGATCTGATCTTTCGAAGAGCCAGTGCAGACCAGCAGAAATGACAGAGCACATAGGTCATGGAGAAAACTTCAAGTGTACACTGACTACATAAGCAGCAGTCATGGCAATGGGAAAATGCTCTGGACTGACAACAAATAAGCTGATCAGGCAAAATAAACTCAGCTGCTTTACAGGTCCACATGCAAACTTTGAGGAAGCTGAAACACACAGCAGAGCCAGCTGGCTGCTCCTGAGGGTGGGCCCAGTGCCAGGCAGCTGTGGCAGGGGGGGGGGAACCTGGGCTACCCTGATACTCTTTATTGGGAAGGGAGGAGTTGAATATACTTTGTGCAAATAACCATGAATTTTGTTAATTGTTATTTAAAGATATCTATGAAGTCAGTGTCCCACAGTCTGTTGTTTGTATTCCAAACTAATCAAGAGCAGAAGAACCTCTCTGTATGAGGACAATAAAAGTTTAATCCATTTTATTTTTCCCTAGAGAGAAGTAAGAAGGGAAACTCTAGGCAAGGGCTTACAGACATGGTTCTCTTACCAAAAAGAATCTTAGATACGGAGATGATTGACCCTCTCTGCTGCCAATTTAGTAATTTAGTTTTGAGCCTCTGTCATGACTCTTTTATTTTCTAAACATTTAATGCTTCCATTAATTCTCTAACTTAATGTACGCTAGACTGTGCCCCAATCTGAGTGGCCATATCTTAAGGACATGTTTTAAGGACAGGCTAACATTCTGCTTGCAAAAGAAGGCTGACTCTCAGAGCCACTGCATTATAAGCGCAGGTCAGCACATTTGCAAAACTAGGTACTTGTCTTTCTTCATAGATTAGGGGTATCTCTTCAGTGAAGTGTTAGAAGACACATAAATGCAAACACTACCAGCTGCCCCTGCTATTCCAACAAAACTAAACAAATATTTTCATTGCGCTCTGAAAAAGAAAAATCACTGAACCCCCTACCACTCTCACTTGTTATACAATAAATATAATTATGATACAGTCTCTCCTCACATTCTTGCATTTAGGAAAGGAAAAGATAGGTGTTTCCATATATTCTTGTTTCTACCTTAGTGAAAAGAATGAAAATCATTTTCAGTATCAAGAGTGCCTGCACCTGGAGCCTAAATGAAGGGAAGTAGGTAAATGGTTCCAAGTAATTAATGTAATGGCTCAGAGGGCCACAGAAGGAATGGGGAGTTTCTCCAGTTTAAATGTTTGCATTCATGCCTTGCCTAAAGCAAAACAAGCTATCCGTCTTCTGGTTTGCATTTCCCTAGTGAAAGGTTCCATTTGTCTTACTGTCATTCCAACATGTACATCATTCAAAGCTTTCCCTGCTTGAAATATGTGAATACTGCGCAGTGCAAGATTTTTCTTCTGAGCTCTTAGGATTTTGTTAGAACTGTAGAGTGTATTTTAAAGAGTCAACCAGTAAAGGCAGATTGAGTTCAGAATGTGCTGGGTAGTTTTCTGAAAGTGGCTGCAGGCTAGGTCCCCAGAGGCAAGTTTGGTATTGTGATGCTTTGCTGGCCACTGGGAATCTACAACCCAGAGTGCGGTGCTTTGGCTCCTTCCGCACTAGGGGGAAAGAGGTTCCAACATAGAAATGACCAAAGCTGGTGGGCAACACCCTAGCTGGCAACTAATAAAGACTGAAGAAAGAGTGATGGATCTTGAGTCCCATCTATTTCAGGTGTTCAGGTCCCTTAATGTTGCAGAGATGTAGTAATCACCAAAACACAACTCTGAACTCTATTCTGGAGTTAGAAACTTATGCCAACCTTACCTCACAAGACAGGAGAAAAAAGCAGTATCACCTCTGTTTCATCTAATAGTTTGGGGATTAGAGGATTCAGATAGCAGAAGTCTGGGTTCAAGTCTGGGTCCAAGTCGTCTTGACTCTTCCTGAGAGGATTAGATTTGCATTTCTAACTTCCCATTTTGAGAACTCCAGTATACAGGATGTTTAGGGGAGGCACTTCTAGTTTCTCCTATGGAAGCGAAAATACTGCCCACAAGAAATGCCGTGATGAGAAGAGATTAAACTAAACTATTTATCGTAATAGTTTGTACATTCATCAAAGTTGGGGAAAGCCTAGATTTCTGTCTCTGTTCAAATTAGTACTTAATACTAAATCTTGAGTAGAGCAGGCCCTACAAGACAAACTCTCTGTCTTCAGCCTATCTTTGTGTTCCCTGCTGTCATATGACTTGGAGTGTCAGAATATTTCCCATGATGCAGCCTCAGGCAGCACCATTTCCTGTATCAAAGAGATTGGCCTAATGCATGGGATAGGTAGTATTGTCAGCTCTCACAAAGACAGCATTTCATATGACTATTCACATGGCAAGTCCACAGTCACAGTCCTAGGTATAATATAAAGTTCCCTTTGTTTGATGCAGTGTATAAACATGTAAGGGACATACCCTATCCTGCAAGTTGTTAGAGTGGTGAATTTGATGTGAAAACTGGAGATTGGAACATGCCAAATTCATCTCATCAGAAGCCAGCAAACATCTGTTATGCTTGGTCTGCATTTACAGTGTTTCCTAATGTAGTGATCTGGGCAAAGACTTCCAAGAGTAGCCGCTGCTGAAGCTAGCCAAAAAAAGCTTGAAGGGCTTCCCCAAACACAACAAGCTGCACTGTGCTATGTGCTCTAAACTGTGCTTATAGCAGAGCTGTTACAGAAGTGCTGCAAGTCATAGCCTTAGTAACACTATGATACATAACAAGTATCTTCGGTTGACCTGATCTAAAACAGGGTTAATTTTAAATCTCTACTATGCTGGCTGGGTCTCAAACGAGTAACCACCGGCGAAAGTCTTACTAGGTGAGGTCATGTCTAGGAGTACCTTCTCAGGATAGGTATACAAATCCAGTATAAGAAGCAGAGTAATTGTTGCTAGGAAAAGATTACTTTGGCAAAACTGTGCTTCAGCAGTATAATATGTTTCAGCTCCTACCAGTGTAACAAGCTACATGAGAAAAAATGTAGTTTTGCTGTTGCAAGAGTATGTTACAGTACGGTCTTTAGTTGACACAGTCATGTCAGTCAAAAATCACACCTCATCATATCCATGGCTGACAGAGCAGCGCTGGCAGAAGCCTGCAGCCTAGCGATGGCCTCACAAAAAAGATTTAGACCTCACAAATTTTAACTTTACCGTTCTCAAACTGTACTAGAACTGGCTTAATGCAATTCTGATTATTAAAATCAAATTCTTACCTTTCTGAGGTTTATAGATGTGAGACTACCCTCACTGAAAAGAGATAACATTTCCCAAGCTATCTG